CGGCGAGGGCGTGGGTCCGCGGCTCCCCCCCGCCCAGCAGCCGCGCCTGGTGTGTCGGGCTGTTGCTGTGGGGAAGGGTAAAGGGAAGGGCCTCAGCTTCTGCCCCTCGAGGCGGGGAAGCTTTTGGGGCCAGCAGGTCCTTGGCCCCGTCTCACAGGGGTGGGGGTGCTCCTGGGAGCTGAAGGAACGACAGGAACCGGAGTTGCTTTGTCCTCGCCCTGCAGCAGTGCAAGGGTTTCCTGCTCCCCTCCCTCCCCAGGGCTGCTCCGTGGCCACTGCACTGGGGGATTGGGGAACCAGACTAGAAGGAAGGAGCAGTGGGAGAGGAGGGGGGGGGGCCGCGGGTGGCCGAGAAGCGGGAGGGGGAGGGGCTGACAGCTCTGTTTTGCCCTGGGAGGAGAAGGGTCTGACAGCTCTGTTTTGCCCTCCCCAGAAGCGGCGCAGGCCTACCCTGGGCGTGCAGCTGGACGACAAGCGCAAGGAGATGCTCAAGCGGCACCCCTTGTCCGTCACCGTCGACCTGAAGTGCAAAGGTACTGGTGGCCCTTGGCAGAGCGCGGACAAGAGCGTGTGACAGCAGGTCAGGGAGCAACCCGGCAGCAGCTTGGGATCCTTGGGGAGAGCTCGGGGCGCGGAGAGCCTTTCCTGCCCTCAGCCCAGCTGCCCTGGCAGGGATGAGCGTGGCCTTCTGGGGGAGACTGAACAAGGCGGTTTGTCATCTCCGTCTCCTGGAGCTCCTCTCGCCCACGCAGGTGGGGTGGACCTTGCTCTGAAGCTTTCTCCCTCTAGCTGGGAGCTTTCCTCTTTTGTGGTGGGGTCTTGGGCCTGGCAGATACAGCCTGGCAAACGCTGGTGGGACGGTGTGAGAGGTTGCAGTGCGTCAGTTGCCAGTTACTCCCCCTGTTGCCTCTCTGCCCCATTTGCTGTTGTCCTGGCAGAGGGGCATGTACATCCCCCTCTGCAGAATGCTCCGAGCTAGAGCAGACAGCAGCGTTGCCCCTTCTCTGTTGGCGCAGATGAGAACGTGCTTCACCTGACCTTCTACTACCTGATGAACCTCAACGTCATGACGGTGAAAGCCAAGGTGACCACTGCCGTTGAGATGACCACCGCCATCAGTGCCGGGTAAGGAGAGCCCCGGGGGCGCTGAGCCCAGAGCCCACCGGGCAGCGACCCCTCCGCTTGCCACGAACGCGCCGCCCTGGTGTCCTGCCACGCTCTGTTCAGAGTGACCCGTTGGCAGAGCGATGGAGCGCCAAGAGCAGCATCTGGTGGCAACGTCCCTCTGCTGAGCCGTAGCTCCTGCGCCCGGTGGGCCAGGGGCACTCCATGCCCGGTTGCCTGCTCCCAGCGGGTGAGGTTTTAACCTCGGTCCCTCACCTTGCCTTAACCTGCGGCACCTTAAGGGCCTTTGTGCGGAGCTGCAGTTTCAAAGTGCTGTCTTGGCTTGTCCTTTGGTGGGCAAAGGAGTCGCCAAAGAGCAGAGCTCCAGCTCTGCCTCTGGGGAGGGCTTTCACCTTGTGCGTCCTCTGCCCTGCGGCATCCTCCCCCTTAGCTCCAGGGCCTTGCCAGGAGCCCTGCCAGGCTGCCGCAGCCCAGGCAGCAGCATCCTCTTCTCCCTCTGTCGTGGCAAGCCAGGGGGAGGGAGGTCGGGAACCTCTTAGGGGAGCGGTGCCAGACCTGTCAGGAGCTGGGGGAGAACCTCTCCTGCTTGTCGTATCAATCGCGTCGATCACCTTCTTGCAGCCGAACCGCTTTCCTCCCTCCTGCAGCCTGTGCCTGGCAGCTCCCTCCACCTGCTTGCTCTGCAGGTCACCTTGTCTTGAGCGCCGGAGATGCGGCTGCCTCTCCCTGGGCTCCCCAAAGACCGCTGGAGCCTGATTTGTGTGAGGAATAGCTGAAATGGCAGCTGTGGGAGCCTGCCCAGGGAGCTCCGATAAGCTGCCAGCTCTCCGGTGGCTCTCCCGGGGCCAGGAGGAGGTGCCTGAGGAAGAGGGAGGCGGGAGAGGCTGGGGTGGGCTTACCTGGAAGCAAGTGCTGCCTCCCAGCCTGTCCCATATGAGGCCTCCCAATCCTCTTGGGGTTCTTTTTTCCCCCATAGGTACACAAACCCCCCCGTGACAGCAGCTAGAGTCTCTCCGCAGGGTTCCCGTGCAGGGTGCTCCCTCCCTCGCAGCTGCCCTTGGCTGTATTGCCCCAAACCAGTGAGGCTGTGGCTTGAGCCGAACCCCAAATCCTACAGCCCTTTAAGCTTGGTCAGGCTTGTGAGTACAGTCAGACATGAAGAATTTTCTCTCGTTAAGCAGAATTCCTCTGCTTAAGCTTGTTGGGTGGCAAACAGCCATCAGGCCGTGCCCTGCCTGCGCTGGCGATGTTCTCTCCGTGCGCGTCGGCAGGTTTGGGAGTTAATGCGCTGGAGCGAGCAGCTTCCTGGGAAACCGGGGGGCTGGTGCCCTGTGATTTCTGTCTTCTTCACAGCCCGGGAGGAGACAGACAGATCTCCTTTCGGAGTGGAATTAGGGGAAAGCCGTTCTGGTCTTGAAACCCGACTCGTGGAGCTCGTAATCCCCTTCTCTGGGCTTGGAGCCTGTTAGTGGCCGCCCCAGAGAGCCGTGGAGCCCAGGCTGCTGCTGATTCCCCTCTTCCCTCCTCCTGCCAGTGACCTGCTCTCCCCAGACTCCCTCCTCAACTGCCTCTACCCGGGAGACCACGGGAGGAAAACGCCCAACCCGGCCAACCAGTTCCAGTTCGATAAAGTGGGGTGAGTGGGGCGCTGCCCCGCGCAGCTGGGGTCAGAGCTTCGCCCAGGCGGTCGACGTGAGCGCCCCGCTCCCGGCACGGCACGTCCCTCCCCGGCTTGACAGGGAGGGCTGGGTGGCTGGGAAGCCGGCGTCCTG